CTCACTACACTGTTGTCCCATCACGTTTCTAGTAAATGCTAGGGCATCCTTGAAGGAACAGGATATTTCTAGAAAACAGGTGGCGTGATACTAGTCACATGACCTTGCTGACACAACAACATTATGAACAAATACTGTTCGTGTAAGTAACGATATATAAATAATATAGTACAACTTACTTAGGGAAAATATGAATACTAGCTGTTGTTGAAGTGAAATGTAACCTTGTATAATCATCTCCAAGACCCTAACATATCTTTTGACCAAAGAAAACTAATTATGCCACCCCTACAGTGTAAAACTAGAGTGACATCTGTGAGTTTTTGAGACACTGTGCTACTGTTTAAACTGTAACGAGTTATTAATAATATTCTTATAGTGCAACTAAAAGCTAATGCTATAAAGATGTAAAATACCTGAACTGTCCATGAAAATATAACAATGTTAAATGTAATACAAAGAAAACAACTTGCTTAAAATAATGTGGTGTGTCTAAAACATTAACATTTGGGCCATGCTTTAAAATATTTGTTTGCTGTATTCCAACCAGCCATTTACAATTGGAGTCAATTTTTTGACAAGATGACAGAAATGTTTATTTCACCAATTCCTGCAGATATACTAAACCATCTAACAAAATTTGCCAACTTTAGAATTTTTTCTATCGCTGTATTATGGTTAGAATATTGTTAGAAAAAAAATAACTCTTACATTAAGTATAGCATGAGTGTTAAATTTACTTATTTTTAGAAGCAATAGTTTATCATATTTGTTTACGTAACTATGAATCATGCGTTGTGTAGTTTAATTGTTGTAAATTGGTGATTTTTGTATTATTGCATCATGTTGCTAAATCCTTACAAGTTTTTCTCGAGTGTTAGTACATCATAATATCTCATAGTGTTTGGAAAGTTCTAGGCTTCAGTTGGGATATTTATAAATATGTGTTCAAAATGTAGTTCAAGTAAGACAAAATTAGTGAGAGATGTAGTCAAACAGATCTACACTGTGCGTTTGTAAGTTTAGCTATAAAGATTGTATGGTGGCACTTTTTTTTTAAGTGAATTTTTGTAGATTGTATTGTAATAACAGAGTAGAGAAGTCAATTGTGTTCTAGAGTAATTGAACCAGCCTCTGTGGACTTTGACAAAAAGATACATTTATTTTAAAGCTCTGGATACAACTGTGTAATGAAAATTTGTATATACGTTTGACTTGTTTTAATATATTATTTTAAAATAAGTGGACTGTGTGCTGTTTACTTATTGCAAACAAGTCACAGACACCTACTGTAAAGAATCCTGCTCATCCATATATAAAACCTGACAAGAATATTTTTTTGGAAATTAATGTAATCTGTGATTGCCAATTGACAGCTCAGTGCTGATTGGCCAGTGCATTGAGAGGTTTGACAACAAGGCTTATCTCGTCCCCGAGCACCCTTCAAACTAAACTAGTAAATACCTGACCTAGCAGGGGAGAATTTACTGTTGAGAAGCATACATCAATAAGATAGCAAACACATGTCTCTCCAGTATATGTGTATCCAAAAAATGTTCTCATAGATTGAGGATTAGGATTAATACAAATTAATTCATGTGGAGGGAAGTACTTGTAGATTTACTTGGTGAATGAGATGAAAAGGAAAAACAAACCATAAAATTGTTGGCAACAGTCAATTCAACTTCGTCAATATTGACCAGCTAGTGTGTATTGTAAAATAATTTGAAATTTCTGTAATGATCACGGAACTAGTATTTTCGAAATTTATTTTGCCAAGCTATTTGAAAATGCAAAAAACACATTTACTTACCTACCCACATTTCAAATCAGTTTAGAGTTGGAACAAATAAAACTAATTTTAAGCCTAGCCTTACTTGAACTATCCCATTGAGTTGGCTACAGGAAGTAATAAATAATGTTAAATCTTTTGTTAATGCTGAAATTGAAACACAAGATTACAAAGATGAAATGAATAATGCAACTAAACTAATGATGTAATGTATGCTATATACAGAACTGTTATATAGAAGTAAGCCTGTCAGAACTATAACAGTATATATGAATCAGATCATATTTCATTGAATAATACAATTTCTCGACAGTTTAATGACACTGCACCTCCCGAACACGGAGTTCTGAGTCATGTAACAATGGGCAAATATACGTCTAGAGTAAGACACAACCCTCATTACGCACACATAACATTTCATTAGTAGAAAAGCAGATTTTACAAATAAAGCTCCATGTCTTTTAAAGTAATTATTTACTGGGCCAGGTGGCTTTGCTCCTGAGGTTTTGTGTAAATACACAATGAGCACAAAGGCAGCTGATCACAAGAACACCACAGCTATTATGTATTTATAACCACGTAAATCAACTTTCAGTGAAAAATAATCAACTTTTAAGTAGGTCTTTGACATTTGTGGCATTTCATTTAGTATATCTGTCTAGGTTTTGCTGTAAAATACCAAGCCGATTTTGCTGCAGGCTTATGAAACAAAAATATTGATAATAAAAATATGAACAAATCGGCAAATTTTGATTTTGTTTACAAACGTGAAATCACTTATTTTGCTTATTATCAATGTTTAAGTGGTCTTAATTATTGAAAAAGAATGTTTTGAGTGTTGTTTCAAGAATATGTTTGCTTTTAAGGTGGTTTTTTTGCCCGAATGTTCTTTTCAAGTTTTGAGCAAATTCCTGTATGATCCCTATTATGAACCACTATCATGGTTCATGATAGTAACTTTTAATCAAGCATCTTGTATCAATGATCAACATATGAAGTAAAACAGGTTTGTACTTTATTTCTAACAATTCAAAAACACTCCAATCAAAATAATTAAAACCATTTAATATTAAAAAAAATCTGTATTAAAATCTTCCCTAAAGTTCACCCATCATAAAAGCAAATTCATTGTGCCATATGCTTGTTGTAACATAATTTTTTTTGCTAAACTAATGATAGAGGTCTTTGTTCACTAGGTTTTAGCCAAATCTCATGGCTAACTAAAGTGGTATTTGCTTCCACAAAACTTTCAGTTGTTATGAAATCACATTTTTTATGCACATCTTGATTTCTACAATAATATGCAAGGAACAACTTGTCTCCCCTTTCAGATTTTTAAGTCATTTATAAAGTTTTGAAGTAAACCAAAACCTGTCTTCATTCAATATAAATTATTCTTCCTGAAGATATTAACATAATTAGTTTTTTTTCTTGCAGTGAATTACTTACTGGAAATACTACTTTGTAACACAGGCACTATATTACAGAATTAACAAAGGAAGTGTAAGCTAAGCCTTTTACATATCAAAAATAAATATGAAATATTACATAAAATCATGATAAATTGAATAGCCAGAGAAGCCACTGGAAAAAACCAATGATGCTAGAATACCATCCTTGCTTTGACTTTATGATGTTTTGAAGTTCTTTATCAGATATTAAGAAGTGGTCAACAATACTGTGCTTCAGATTCTGTGACCAATGTCTAGGTTTTCCTTCATTCAGGTTTAAAAGGCACACTGATCTCATCTATGAAAATATATTACATAAATTATTTGTTTTAATCTATTAAATTATTTTGTAGTAATGGAAACAAACATCCTTAATATTGCAAAAGTTTTACAATTCTTCATATTTAAAACACAGTTCAGGACTGTATCCAACTTATTCAAATAAATAAGTTATTTATTAGTGAAATATCAAGTCATCTTTTAGAGAGCATATTATACAAATAATTAACCACTTTAAAACATCTATGAACAGGAATTTAATAGATGTAGTTCTAGAAAAATTTGAATTGTACTTACATATTGTTTTACACTAAATTCTGTGGTGTACTTGTCAGCAGAAAGCATGATGATTTGTTTGGATGTTTCCAAAGGTTGTTTTACCACTTCTGTAAATGCTTCAACATTTTCCTTTCTTCTCTGTCCACAGATGCTGTGCAATCCTCTCTGAGAAGTGACAGATAAAAAAAAATATAACCTTTAGTTTTTATTTTAATAAAAAGGTGTATACATAACAATACATAACCAAGTTTACTTTAGACAAGGGTAAACCAAAAAACAATACCTAACCACATTCACTTTAGACAAAAATTAACCAGAAAACAATACCTAACCAAGTTTACTTTAGATAAAGGCAAACCACACAATAGTACCAGACCAAGATCGTGGAAAACCACAAAGAACAAGACCTGGCCAAATGTAAACAGACAGAGGCAAACATCTCCGATATTGAGTTAAAGGCCTCTTCAGTAGAGGTTTGCAAGATGTGCTCTTGAAATGCTGTGTTGAAAAGTTGTAGTATATCATTAATATAGAAATATTTTTCAAAAACAAATTATTATCAGTTTTATTTTGATATAATGTCACACAAACTAGACATCAATATGTGACCAAGTTCACTTTAGAGAAGAGAAAACTAAATAAATGTGATCTAACAGTTTGCCACTGTAAGGTAAGAAACTTGTTCTTCCATTTTCCTTGTAAACAAGTACTACGGAAAAGTGGCTCTACCAGAAATTGATGTATTTTATTGACAGTTGGCAAAATCCAGACTATTTTTTTTTCTTCAACCAAAAGTTACAATTTTGGTGATAAAGGAAAAATTACAATATCTCAAACAGTACATTTACTGATCAATATAGGATAATGAATTGTTAACTTCAATATTACCCATCTTTTATTAAAGTAGGTTACTTGAGTATATAATTTTATAGGGACCATGGTTAAAATCTTTCCTGTTACATTGACTTATTTTATGAGATCTATTTTCATACAGAGTGAAGGCTTGTATCTAAAACTGATACTTGTATTAGCAGAAAAGGAAGTTAGAGTATAAAGTTAATGTTTAGTTTCTTGTCAATATAAAAGTTTATTTCTGTGAAATTTAAATGTTCCAAATACAGAATTGAATTGAATTTTTTTTCAGTCATCGATTGCAATATTTATAAAATATAATAAATTATTAGTAGTGCACATGAAAGCTTTCTGGGTAAAAACTAATACAAGTTTGAAATATATATACTAAATTTAGCAAATAATTATTTTATTGAGAACCACAGCTTCATAATATACTGATATTGGAAAGATTATACTAAATCTTAAAATGTATTTTAGGTGACATATGTTAAACTATACGATTGCAGCTTGAGTTAATGAACACCTACTTGAAGATCTGCAATTCCAATGATATATCCCTTGTAACTGCTAAAATCTTCTGTCTGTTCTTTGTATCGTCTCTCCACTCTGAGCATTTCCATTTGTAACCTGGGTAAATGTGGTAAGAAATAAATCATATGGACTACTTTTTTGCAAATATGACTTGAACATAAAGGAAACAACTGAAGCATCTTTGAAAGAAGACAAGAGAAGAACAAATGAATTTTGATGGGTGAGACTAAGAGCAACAAAATATCCTCAAATATACCAAGTCTGTACACTAATTCTCAATAACTATACCAAGTATAATATTTTATTGGTATTCAAAACGAAAAAGGCCTTAGTCATTTTGCAATTTTAGATTATAATTAAAACATGTAAATGATACTGCAGACATATGGCAGAAGGTTTTGTGGTTGGATGAGACCAAAATTGAGCTTTTTGGCCTAAATTTAAAGCTTTACATCTGGAGTAAGCCCAATACAGCACATCACCCAATCAACACCATCCCAACTGTCAAGCATGGTTGTGGCAGCATCATGTTATGGGAAAGCTTCTCATTAGCAGGGACTGGGAAGCTTGTCAGGATTGAAGGGAAGAAGGATGGTGCAAAGTAAAGGCAAATCCTGGAGGAAAACCTGCTAGAGTCAGCCAATAATTTAAAACTGGGTCAAAAATTTACATTTCAGCAGGATGATGACCCGAAGCACAAGGCCAAAGCAACACTGGAATGGTTTCAAAAAGAAATAAGTGAATGTCCTGGAGTGGCCCAGTTAAAGTCCTAACTTGAATCCAATGGAAAATTTATGGTGAGACTTGAAAATTGCAGCTCATCAATGATCCTCAATGAACTTGTGAAAATTGGAGCAACTTTGCCAGAAAGAATGGACAAAAATTACATTAACCCATTGTGCAAAGCTGGTAGAGACTTAACCAAAAAAAGACTCACAGCAGTAATTGCTGTGAAAGGTACCTCCCAAGTATTGACTTAGGGGACTGAATACTTATACAATCAGCAAATTTCAATTTATATATTTTCTTTGCAGGTTTTGCTGACATTCAACCTTCTTCACACATAACAGTGTTAAGTTTGATCATTAGTTTTGAATAAAAGAAAGTTAATGAAAAAATTGTTTACATTATTTGTATTTCCTCAAAATGTCACATTATTGGTAGGGGGTGAATACTTTTGCAAGGCACTGTACGTTAATCGGCACCTGATCAGTGAAAGTGGGTTTTCTTGGGGTACTCCCATTTCCCCCAACATCTAAGTCTCTATGCATTGGATTTTTAAATCCTCGCCACCCTGAAGAACCACAAGTCTTATAATGGCTGTTGTGTATAAGTATAACAATACCATGTATGATGTAAATTTCTTAATTTCATGTACACAGCCTCTCACTCCCATCACGAGTGGGGTAAAGAGAAGCAAGTGCTTCTAAGCACACAGGGTTGTCTTTAATAAAAAAATTGCCATGAAAAACAAACAATTTTAGGATACAAAATTTTCAGTGGTGTTGGGATGAAGAGCAGTGTCTACATAGTACCCGTTGGTGAAACAGAAAGAAATTTACGTACAAGAATTACAGAACATTAAATAAAAAATGGCCTAGCAAATAATACTATTTTTCTACATATGGGAAATCTTGATTAACAAATCAACTGGAAATCAGCCAAAGTAATACATACGACCAGAAATTTTGTCAAAAGAAAAATTGTGGAACACTTCCTAATCCAAGTAGTGCCAAACTCTAATATCTCTGAAGGTCACTCTAAGCTGAACCCCTTTCTGACATTCTACACTCAGAATGAACTTGGACTGAAGAGGAAAGTTTCAAAACTTTCTCTTTACAAATCTGTTGTTCTGTAATAGTGTATATTAACTTCATTTTACAAGCTTATTTGTTTAGCTACACTCTGGACAATTTTTTTAAAAACTAATAAAGTGAGTGAAAATAATTTATTGCAAACTTCTGAGGAAAACCTACAATCTGTTAATGAGCTGCTCTAGAATTCTGTTTAATGCAATATGCCTTGTCATCAAATTCTTATCAACACCCTATCTAGCAAGGTTTTCCTATTTTTGAAGGCCAAGTCTAGAACTGCATTTCATTACAAATTTCGAACATTTATTTTTCATACACTAACATATTAATTTAAATGCTATAGCTGGGTCTCTCGTTTTGTTTTTAAGTTAATTAATTTTTAAGTAATAAAAAACAAGTAACTTACCTAGAATTTAAGTCTGTTTCATTCGATGGGAGTGGTATATGATTTATGTCAGTGTTATCATGAAATTGATGGAGTAATTCCTGTACCTAATAAAAATTGGACAGAGAAGTTGATACACTAATTAAAAACATACAAAGTAACTAATACAGTCAACCACTTTTCTGATGCATGAGAGAAAAGAAAGTATTAAAACTCCAGACTAGGAGAGGCATTAGTTATGCAGATTCCATAATGAATGTAAGACATTAAAAATACACAAGTTTTCAACATGAAGGTTTATATTAGCACAAAAGCCAAGTTACATTAAATATTCAATAACATATAATAAACTAAAAAAATATAATTGCTCCCAAATAAGCAAAGCATAATAAAAACATATGGTTGTAAATCTCTATACATTTAAGATTGAAATAAAGCCATTGAGTAAACTGTTAAATGAAAATGACAGAATAAAATAAAACGTAAGTTTATTAATGATGAAACTTTACAATGTATCTTTATCTTAGTATTTACTTCATCACCTACCACTGTTTTAATTAGACTTTGAACTAAATCTTCATTTTTCTTTTCAAGTTCCTTCCATTGCTCCATTAACCTGTTCTAGATATAGTAGTACATTAACTATTTGTAGCTTTTACAATGAAAAAAAACAACAACAAATAACTTAATTTAATTAATTTACTTGTATCATTTTAATTTAATATTCTCATATTAAAATACAGAAACATATTATTATCAAGAAGGAGCAAGTGTTAAGGAAGAGTAACATGTACTATCACAAACCCAAGTGTTATTGTTCTCTTGTACTAAGATAATCATATACTTGTAACCCACAAACACTTTTACAACAAGTACTTGAACAGGGATCAAACAAACTTCTTCATAACAAATTTTTTTTTAACCACAACTTATTGCTGATTATATTCTTAAACAGCTTTTAAACACTCACCTCAAGTAATGCTTTGTGTGGTTGATATAAACTTTCTTCAGAATATTGCGAGCACTGAGATTCAAAAACCTTCCAAAACAAAACACAAATACATAAGTTTTAAAACTTTTGTTCTTTAAAACGTTTATACAATTTACAAAATGAATATTACCTGAAACCCACATAAACTTCCTGATCCATATAAGAATAACTTAGTGCTTAAACTTACAAACATGTCTTACCAGTAGTTTCATATTTTTCATTTAAGTTTTAATATGATATTTAAAACAACAAACAAGACAAGTAAATGTTTTTCAAAAGTATCTAAAACACGTCATATTATATATATATATATAAAAAAATCAGTTTTAACATTAAGCTTTCACAAACCAATCTCTGTTGTAAAGGTTAACTGCTTCTTGGTGGTGTAATCAAAACATGTGCTTTTGTACCAATTATAAGTTGGTCTGTTTAGTTATTTGTAAAATCCAATTTTGTTCCCAGTCCAGTCATTCTAGATAATCTTATCAAATATTACTGTTGTTATCATAATTTCTTGTTTAATTTTAATGATTTAATATTAGTTGATCTCACTGCAGAACAAATTGCTGGTTGATGAATATACATGTAGTAGTGGCGAAGATTGTATAGTAGAAAAATTACAAAGAATATCACCAAAATACAGATTTAATATTAAAAAATAGTGTCACTTTACCAAAACTTTGGTCTTGTACTAAGCATAAACACAAAGTGATTGATAAATGCAACCTGGTATACATAGCCATATTTAACATAATAAGATGAATAATACTTAAAAGTATTTATCGCCACGTACATTAAAAAGGTACTGACTTGGTATGATTGGCTCAGGCTTCAGAAAGAAAAAGGAAAGAGTGTTGAACATTAACAGTGAGCCAATCCTACCAAGGTTAAAATCAGACAACAAATCAACTGCTGCCTAACCATTCAATACAGTATAAGGTTATCCAAAAGTTTAAAACCTATTTTGATTAACGAAGTGCAAAACAAATCAACAATAATACAGATATTCAAAAGTAAACATGAAAATATACAAGAAAACTAATATTCTGTAAACATTTTATGTTAAATATTCCCCCTCAAAATGCTAATCTTGCAAATGTTTGGGCAAGAAGTGGCATACAACTTCTCTTCATTACTATGTTTATTTAGTATTTCACTAATGACGTATCCTGACAGTTGTTAAATATGTATAAAATGTAAAATTATGTTTGAAAATTCATGAAACTAACCTTAACTGCTGTTGTAAATCCTTTTTCCAGAACATTCTTCAACAAAAAAGGCTTCAGGGGTTGATTTCCTGAGTCCTTTGTAAGAACTTTGAACTTATCTGAACATATAAGAAAAAGACCACTAGTGTATCTGATTATTATTATTTTTACAAGCATTGCAGTATGGTAAAAAAGTATCAAATATATTAGGTAAAAATTTCACAATTTCATTGTTTATTGTCTAGTACAAAGCTACACAATGGACTTTTTGTGATATGCCCACTACAGGTATTTAAATCCGGTTCTTAGTAGTATAAGAATTCAGACTTATTGCTCAGCTACTGGGGGTGGTTCAGAGTTTCACATATTTTTTACTAGTTAAATTTCTTGCAAGGTTATATGAGGATACATATACAGTCCTAGCTTATTCCTTCTCCTATAAACAACTAGTGTTAAAAAACATTACAAGTTTCCATTCAACGTCTATGAATATTTAATGATTCTTTCTAATTTAAACAACTGATAATTAAAGGATTGGGTAATATATTACATGTAGAGAAACTGTATTAGGTAAACAATCATTCCAGAAATTGACATACAATGTTTTTATTTGTAAAATTCAGTTAATTCCACAATGTTAAGTTCCTAAAGAAATACAATTATTATGGTATGTGCTAAATTCAACATTTTAGCTGTCACATTGATTTATTTGCATGTTTGACAGAGAAAGTCTTTCGTAGATGTGGAATGATCAAACAAATACCTGTTACTTATAATCTAGACACAAGATATATTATTTGTATGTAAAGAATAAGGCATTACACATTTTAAAGGTATTTCACATAATTATATTATCACTTCTACTTCTAAGATCAGGATTTGAATGTTAACAGCAGAATTTTCTCGATATTTTATTATATTCCCATTTAAACTATAAACTTATTCAACAATTTCACAGATACTTGTAAAAACCTGAATATATTTATTATTAAACAGAAAATATTATTCAGCATCTTTTATTATTAAATACTAACCTTATTCTAATTTTATTACAAAACTTTATTACTGAACCACAGCCAAAGACTACAGTTAACTGTATCAACAGCCCAAAACTAAACACCTTCCACCTTATTATTAACCTATATCTAGTCTTTTGTTGTACAACCAAGCTTTAACCTACTACTAGACTTTGAGACAAATATAGATTGTCAGTTTTGTATCTTAACACTAACATACAGCAGAAAGTTTTCAGTCTTATTGTTAACTTACAGCTAATCTTTGGTAGGTTGTTTAGGCAGAGTATTCATAATGAATCTAAGTTTCAAATGGACAGCAACTGCCTGTTGTAGAAACCTACAAATGTAGAGGACGACGTTTCGAAAGGCTCCCGCCTTTAGGTCAGTGTATGTATGGTGTTGTCTGTCGTTATAGCATTCTGGTGGATTGTGGAGAAACAGGGATAAATCAACATGAAGACGAAAAGCGGAAGACTTTCGAAACGTCGTCCTCCACATTTGTAGGTTTCTACAACAGGCAGTTGCTGTCCATTTGAAACTTAGATTCATTATGAATACTCTGCCTAAACAACCTACCAAAGATTAGCTGTAAGTT